CCCCAAAACCCCAAAACCCCAAAACCCCGGGCGGCGCAATCATCTGGTAAAATGTAATTGTTAATAAATTTAAAATCAAAATTTAAAATAATATAAACTTCTACTACAACTATGAATAAAATAAGTTTTGCAGATGAAGACCCTTTGTTGGACTTTGATTTGCAATCTTTAGACACATTGAATCATTCTGCTCTCAAAAAGAAATTCCTCGAAGAGCGCTAGAGATGTCTTGTGCTTGAAAAAGATTTATTCAAGTCACAAACTGAGGGAAGGCGACTTATTTAGCAGAATAAAAATTTGCAAGAGTTGAATACTTTAAATGCTAAAAATCGCAATAATACATCAAGCGCTTTCACTCTGCCTTCGGAGTTCAAAAACGCGTGGGATGAACTTGTTAAAGAACTAATACTTGATGCCTTCCCAGATTTTCTAGATAAATACGAAGAACTTGTACCACTTGTTCAGGAATTGTTTATTGTAGTGAGAGCAGAGATTGTTCAGATATAATAAAGCATATTATCTGATGTTGGCAAAAGATTAAGATTATTTGATGATAAATCTAGTAAAGAAACAGTAGGTTCTGCAATCGGATATCTAGATACGAAATTTCAAAGCATATTCTAAGAGTATAGTCTTAAGGTATTCTACTTGAGTGATTAGGAGATAAATGACCTTGTAATGAATAAATATAAACCCAGATGTGTGGGAATAATATCTGACAGAGATGGAGCAGAGGATGATTTTGAGGATAACATATCTACTCCTGATTTTAAAAGATTTGTACGAGCTGTTTTCAAACTTTCTCTACATATGGTTCTTAATGACCCTCCTATCTTGCTGAGTATGGAGTGCTGGGAGACGAGATAAGTCAAAACTATATTGATATAGAAATTTGAGTTCTGGATGTACAATAAAAATGACTATTATTGTATTGATGGATTCCCTAAGGAAGGTAATCCATGTGTTGTTGTGCTACCTCCTCCATATAGATAAGGATATGTTTATTAAGGTATCAAACCAGCTGTAATAGTGCTTGATGATCCATCAGATGAAGTTGTTGATCACGTAAGAGTTAAATAAGAAGAATTAGTGGAAAAATTAAAGGCAAAAAGATAGCTTAGTTTATGCGGATTAGAAGAAGAAGAAAATGAACATTACAATAGTAAAAAGGAATTAAATACAATTGAAGAGAAGAATAATATCTTAAATGCAAGTAAGCAAAGCATTAAGGTAACTAATGAATAGATAAATATTGTAAATCTTAATCCAGGGAAGAAAGATAACTCTGCTATACATTTGGAACAAGTAGAAACACCAAAGAAATCTGAATAAAAAACTCTAATAAGATAAAATATTAATGCTTCATAAGATGAACTAGAAATATCCCTATAGTAGCTATAAAAAGAAATCGCTGAAAATTCTTAAGATATATAATAACACAGTATAAGTGATAATGATGAGATCTTAAGTGAAGCTGATTGTCAAGTTTCTCATAAAAAATCACTTTTATCGACATCAAATAGAAAAATCTCTCATTAAAAGCAAACATCTTAATCAAATACCTCATTAAACGGAAATTCAAGATATAACTTGAGTTCATCAAAGAAAAAACTAAGCATTTCAGACAATGCAAACAATCAATATAATAAATATGGATAGAGACATATCAACTAAAGCACTTTGCTAAGTGCTAGAAAGATGATTGAAGAAGTATAGCATACTGTATTGCATGAATCATCAACTAAGAAGAATCAATACAATAAATATTGTTGTTTGAGTCCGAATAGATTAAAGTCACCTCAAGGGCAAAAAAAATATAATAACAATATAAATATGTTTTCAAAGGAGAAATCCTCCGAAAGAGCAAAAAGTAATAAAAAATAGCAAAGTCATAGCAAGAATTCCAAGATTTCAAAGTTTGATTTGACTTAAAGTGTGCTTGCAAATAGGGTAGGAAGAGGTGAAAAGGGATTATCAAATAAGAACTCAAGTAAACAGTCAAGCAGAAAAATAGAAAACTATAATTAAATTGATGAATCTTAACAAATATAAATCAAATCACCAACACGAAGTGAGATATTGAAAACATTGTATAATGACTACGCTAATTTGAAAAACAAATAGCAAGCGTGTGGAAATAGTGGAACTTTTGTAACACTTAATGGCACTTAAAAATAGTTATTCTCTGATAAGAAATCTGAAAGCAAGCACCATATAGGAGAAGATGATGAAGCTGTATTGCTAAGTGCAAGAAGGAGACTTACAAATAACTTGTAAAATTAGGGAATTTAAAGCAAGCAAAACAATTATAAATAATAAATTGACAGTAGGAATAGCTTGTACAATGCGAGTAATACTTGTAATACTGGAGGGAGTAGTAATATATCAGTAAGCTAGAGCTAAATCTTTGTAAAGAGTTAAGATAAGAATAAAATCTTATTGGCACATAATCATTCTAAGAATTAGTCATCTATAGATAGTAATTTAACAGTTCAATAAGATATAAAGTCATAAATTAGAAAATTAGCTGAGACAATGAAAACTGCATAATAAAGCTAGAAGAATTCTATATAAATCAACTAGCCAAGCTCTACAAGTCTTTAATCAGAAGAGAGACATTAATAGACTATCTTAGGAAAGAATTATATCGATTATCGCAAATAAGATTAAAATGGTACTTATGCATAAAGAATCCTATAAGATTACTAAAATTAGCAAGATACTTCGCAATATTAAACAAAGTCAAATCTATAGAATCAATAGTACTATAAACTTAACTAGACAACTTCCTCCTCAAATTCTAGTAACACTTATATTAATATAGCCTAATAAAAGGTAGGCATTAATGCTAGAGCATATGAAAAGTTCAATAAGAATAACGAAATGCCTAAAAAGATATAATCTCAAGCTGAAATATTGGCTTCTCAAAAAAGAAATGAAATCAATAGCAATAACCTAAATAGCATCAATAATAAGACTTCTAGACATATTGAAAATTAGCATGATGTGACTCAGAATTCGACCATATCACAGATGCATATCTAGAAGGGTATGACTGATATAAGGGAAGACCTTTAAAGAAAAATTCATAGCTATCAAAGTCTTTTGAGGAAAACAGATAAAGATAAATTTAGTAATAGCCAATTAAATAAAGTTTAAGTTGGCAGTCAACCAAAGAGTCCATTCGAATATGACTAGGCAAACAAGTTCACAACTCTTGACAGCAATAAGCAGAAATATGTAAATAACAATAAGACTTCTAGACTAAATACAAATGAGGACGATCAATCAAAGGAAACTGCTTCTTAATCCTCATCACATGTGAGAAGTTAAAAAGGCACTGGCGAAAGCTTGCAGCAGTTGAAGCAGCAATTCTTTACCAAGATTCAATCTTTCCACCAGTAGTTCGAACAATCAAAGAATTTGAGCACTCAGCAATAGCAACAAAGACTATCCTCAAGGTCTAAGTCTCCATTGTAGAAAAATCTACCTAGATAGTATATATAGGACGGTAAAGTAAACAATTACAAAATAATTGGAGGAGGCAATTCTACAGCTACTGTATTACCAAGAAAGAGTACAATCTAGTATGATGATTTGACTTCTGATTCAAGTTCTAGTGAAGATGATGCTCAACTAAATGCTAGGGTTACTCTCAATAAATTCCAAAACAGCGACAAGGTTTTGAAACAGCAGAATATGAATTAAGGAAAGTACAATCCACCTTAGAGACCAAAGGAATTGACTTAAAGCACAAATGACTTCAAGCGATAGAAGACCATAATTGATAACAATAAGGACTCAAGTAACTTTAAAAGTCTTACTAGAGATTAAAATAAATACCCATAAAGAATCGGAAGTGCTGGCTACAAAGATGAAAATAAGAAAATTCCATAGAGTAGCAGCAATTAGGATCAATATTGTGAGAATAGTAACTTTGATAGTTAATCGCACCTTATCTCATCTCCAAAGACTTGTGTTACCTATAGAGGCATAATCAATGGAAACGTTTTGAATAAATCTATATAAGGCTATCAAACTAAGGTGCTCTATGGGCAACAGAAATACAGGCAATGATAAGAGATTGCTTGGCTTAATGAAACTCAAATGAAATCCAAACTGATTATTATTGATTAAAATATACTAATTAATTAAATTATGAATGCACTTGCTAGGCAAATTATAATTTCCTTTCGGGGTTTTGGGGTTTTGGGGTTTTGGGGTTTTGGGG